AAGACAACAAGTGTACAGTACACTCCTCAGAATGGAAAAGGAGAGATTCAGAGTGGACACAGAGAGATTCCGAATGGAAACAGAGAGATTAAGAATGGACGCAGAGAGGTTCAGAATGCACTTGGAGAGATTCAGAATGAACATGAAGAGATTCAGAATGGACACCGAGATATTCAGAATGGACACAGAGAGATTCAGAATGGACACGGAGAGATTCAGAATGCACAGGGAGAGATTCAGAATGGACACAGAGAGATTCAGAATGCACACGGAGAGATTCAGAATGGACACAGAGAGATTCAGAATGCACTTGGAGAGATTCAGAATGCACTTGGAGAGATTCAGAATGAACATGAAGAGATTCAGAATGGACACAGAGAGATTCAGAATGGACACAGAGAGATTCAGAATGCACACAAAGAGATTCAGAATGGACATGGAGAGATTCAGAATGCACTTGGAGAGATTCAGAATGGACATGAAGAGATTCAGAATGCACTTGGAGAGATTCAGAATGGACATGAAGAGATTCAGAATGCACAAGGAGAGATTCAGAATGGACACAGAGAGAAACAGATCGCACATGGAGAGATTCAGATCGCATATGGAGAGATTCAGAATGGACAGGTAGAGATTCAGAATGGACAGGGAGAGATTCAGAATGGAAACAGAGAGATTCAGAATGCACAGGAGTTTACTGCAATTATGCAGGTGAAGGAATTACAGGTTTCCTCATTTTTAGTTCTACTGGTTAGAGGCCAGAAGAGCTTTTGTGATAGTAAGGTGTCCGTCATCTGTCTGTCTGTCTATCCGTCTGTCTGTAAACAGTTTTTCAAAATGCTACTCCTCCTACAGTTTTGGTTTGATTTTAATATAACTTGGCACACAAAGCATAGTTACATCTTGAAACTTGTGGCAAAACATCCGTAGGTAGGGAAGATTCAAGTTTGATCAAATCATGACCCCCAGTGTAGGGCAAGGTCACAATGGCAGATCAAAGTTTTACATTGAAATATATAGGAAAATTCTTTAAAAATATTTTTCTAAAAAAAAGCAAAGCCATAATTGATCATACTTATATGGAAGCATCCTTAAGTAGTGTAGATTCAAGTTTGTTCAGATCATGACCCCTGGGGATAGGGTTGGGTCACAATGGCCGATCAAAGTTTTACATAGAAATATGTAAGAAAATTGTTTAAATATAGTTAATTTCTTAATGAACAGCAAAGCCCTGATTGGTCATATTATATGGAGGCATCCTCAGTTGGTGTAGTTTTAAGTTTGATCAAATTATGACCCATGAGGGTGGAGAAGGGCCACAATGAATGAGCACATGTTTACTTAGGAATACATGTATATAGGAACATTTTTTTAAGATAGCAAAGCAATGATTTGTCATATTTTAGTTGGGCAGGGAGGGCACAAGAAAATTAAAATGTAAAAGGCAATAAAGCCACAGGTAGTCAAAGAAATATGCAAACATCCTAAGTTAGTGTAGATTCAACTTTGTTCAAATCAATTGTTGTAAACTGATGTCTGACTTTTTTTACCAAGCTACAGTGCTAAACTTTGTCAAGCTAAAAATGATTAAGAAATTTTAACGTCGTCGTATTCTAAGTTTTTTTTTTTTAAAATTTATGTCCCCCCCCCCAAATTTTTAACGAATCCATCGTTAATCCATCGACGAATCCATCTAATCGTTAGTTGCTCATGAATATTAATCAGAATATTTGGTAGGGACACTGAGTGAAATTTATATAACCTTCTTTTGAACCCAGAAAATTTTTACTACCGGTATTTAATCTCCTTTCAAGCACTTTGGTGTAATTTGTGTCACTATTGGGGTTTACGTACATTGTATTTTAAAATGTCCCTGGAATTATAATGCTATCATTATAATTCCATTAAGCTGAAGAAATTGAAAACCTGAATACTCAGTTAAATTTACTGTTTCCGATTTTTAGGAGGAAAAGGAAGAGAAGTTCAAGGCAGAAAAAATGAAAAAGCCTAAAAAATTAGGGGTATGTGTTTAAATTATAAATATTTAAACTTTGTCAAACTAAAAATGATTAAGAAATTTTAACTTCGTCTTATTGTAAGTTTTTTTTTGAAAAAAAAATTATGTCCCCCCCCCCTTAATTTTTGACAAATCCATAAAAAATCTTTGGAAACTTGAGGGAATTTAGAGTTTTTTTTTTTAGACGCAAACAGCCTTCCAAAAGCAAAGAACTATTGCCATTTTCATTGTTGTCAGAAATCAAAGTCACAAACTTTCTCCCAGGATTGCCAATTAAAAAAGTGGATACTAATAGAAACTTTCCATTTATAGTATTTCATAAGAAAATGAAAAGAGTTTTGATAAAACAAACTAAACAGTTGTAAGTGTCTGTTTTAGAATGACCATCACATTATCATTACAAACCTGGATTGAAATTGTTGTGTAATACATGTACATGATGCAACCATAGCTAGCCTTAAAGAGCATCATTTTGTGCATCTGTAATATGTGGAAAATATGAGTCGGAATTACATGCGTTTTGATCATATTCTATCATTTTTCTACCTTTCTGATTGTTGGCATTTAAAATAAGGCTATGCAAATTGGCTTATTCATAGAATGTAGAATAAGGACTAGGTGTACATGCTCACGAATTCGTAGAATTTTGTCATTGTAATGGACAAATTATATATTTTGAAGCTATGTTGATTTTTATTGATAAACGAAAAGCCGATTGTCTTTAACAATCCCTTTTTACCAGCTTTTTCTTGCTTGTTTCCTTCCTCCTCTCGTTTCTGTTTGAATTGTTTTTGATACAGTGGTTTTCTTTTTCAGTTCAAAAATGGACGCCCCAAACCACCTGTACTAATAATTATGTGAATTAAGTTTAAAAAATTGTAATTATTATCTATTTCAAAGAATATTTGGGACCCAGGAGGGGACACCCGAGCTATTTTTACCGGTTTTTATTTCTTGGCTGTTAAGTTAGAAGAATGAGTTTTCCTATTTAAAAGCACGAAATTGTAAATTCATCTATTAAAGCTCCGTTGTCCTCTCCTGTCTAAATTCTTGTAAATATTTTTTTGCAATGCATACTGTATGTAAAGAAAAAATGTTATCATTATTTAAAAGTTTTGAATAAATAACAATTGTATTATAGAACTATCGACTTTGTTTTTTTTTTATTTTGCTTATTATTAATTCAAAGAGCTGAAAGTCGTCCTGAAAATCTAGCTTGTGTCATGATTATTTATTAGATCTTCTGAATCCTCTGATATTGGTTAATTTATCCGATCAGTAGAGGAGAGTCATGTGCTCTCTACCTGTAGAGGACACAGGTCCAATACAGGTTAACTCCCAGTGTTAGCCGCTACCCATTTAAGCTGGGTGGACTTACACAATGCAGATAAAATGCCTTTTTTAAGGACACAACACACAGCCACTAAATGCCTGTGTCTCGGTCGTGTGGATGTCTTTGAGTAATCGTTTTCTCATTGACAACCCTTCAGTTTTTTAATGGTTCCCGCTTTTGAATCGCAAATTTATAGTTTCTGGAAGTGTTTGTACTTCCGTTCATGCAGATGGGGATACCCATCTCTAATTATCTACAACTCCTCCTATATCACTGAATATAATCTAAAGAGACTTTTTCACATAGTCGTTATTTCACAGTTTGTAAACTGTGCGTTACCCTTTTTCATTTCAATGGGACAGGTATTTGGATAATCTCGATCGCTGGAACACGGACACTAGAAATGGACCTATTTCAGTTGGGAACGGAGGGGGATACAACCAAAATACTGTAACATTTAATAAATTTCGGTCCTTGAACATTTCTTCTCCGTCAAAAGAAATAATATTCAGACAGTATTATTGATGGGACACAACTATCCAATATGATTATTTTCCATGGTTTAGTATGTATACCCAATGCACCATATTCGAGGGAAAAGAAAACTAGCTCCTGTCGAGGTTTCGGCATCTTAACAACAAAACAAAGTCAAAGAATTTGATTTTTAATATAAAAAGTACAGTAACCTATAAATATAAAATCATTTCATGAACAAATTACATTTTAATACAGAAGACCTGATCTTAAATTACAAATTCCTAAACGACAAGGAATAAAAAAGGACTTTACATGCATAAAATATATAACACAAAATTCGTTTACGTTTATACTTTGATAACGATACCTGTACATTTTATTTTCCATGCATCTTTTCAGTATAACAGGTAGAGATAAGCCATATTGTATAACATGACTTCCTTGTCTACATAAAAATAACACTAATGAAAACGAATTAATTTTTTTAAAAGTTAGAATTGCTCTATTGGACCACTAGTGACCAAGAAAGATAAGGGCAATGCTATTTTACACACGGAAATTTTTATAACTAAGGCTATTTGTTCAGCGTATAGAAACATTTGTTATCATGAACTTTAAACTGCTGTTCTCAATTTTAGAGTTAAATGGCATAACTCGGATTAAAATGATTTGAATACATAGAAATTTGATTACTCAATCAATGAAAAAAAGAACAAATATTTCCTTCTCAGACACTTGAGAGGAAGAAATATTTTCAAAGTCCTACAACTTATGGGGATAAATTATTTTTTATCAAATGCGAGTCGAGCGTTTCTTCCAGGACTCATTATTTATTTTAGTGGAGTATATAACCCACTAATACACAGTCCACCAGCAAGATGAAAATAGTCAGCAACGACAAAATTGACTCACTGCAGAAATGTTGTTGGATGTATTAAATTGGATTTTTCTCGTACACTTTGTATCAAAAACAAAATGTTTTGGTTAGTCTCTATCTTTGACTTCTATCCCTATATAAAAAGCAGATAAAACGGAGTTATCTTTCTAAAATTTGGCCTTTCGGTTAATATCTTATTAACAAGAATGTAATGTTTTTCAGCGCTGGTTATTATTGATGTTAACGTTAAGATTTGAAAAAAAATGCACAAGTGTCAAATCTGATTTTAGTAAATCTGTCACATACACCTGGGCAACATCTACAGGGAAATGCATCATGGAATGTCATTGCTCACCAAGACGACTGGGAAGCTGATAAGGCAGTTGATGGAAATACAAATCAGACATACCAACCATCATGTGCTATTGCTCAATATGCTAAATACTACAAAACAGTATGGTGGAAAGTATGGTTACAAAGAACATTTAATATAGCGTATCTGGAAATATTTGAGATCTGGCAGTAAGTATCTTCTGACGAAGCATTTTTTTTTTTTTTAGAAAAGAAAGTTCTTCTACAGACTGATGATTTTGATTTTTTTTTTTTATTTTGAGTAACTTTTATTTCAAAAAGGTAAGAGAATACATGGACATTTACTTCCTTTTGAATATAGGGTATGTGTCTTTTTATCCAGGAAAAAAATTCTTCAAAAACAATGAATAACTAATAAAGAATATTTTAATAAATAAAGTACGCGATACCAACTAATCCAATAGGTCATATTATATATAGCTAATTACATAGGGCCTATTCATTTTATAGTAAGTGATATATATAGGATCTCACATGATTTATAGTTGGTGTAACGGTATCTTATAGTATTATTCTGTTTTATTGTTACGCAATGTTTGTTTACATGTCATTGCTCCGCGCGAGCAATGTCGTTACATAACTGACCCCGTTAAAAAAGATTGCTCCTCATGAGCAATGCATATTATGTATATATATAGGTCGAGTAAATGCTTAGGGGCAGTCAGTCTTATTAATTCTATTACGGGATATACATGTAGGAAAAAGTGCAGTCCGGCCAGTGATTTATTATGTGTGAAACTTGGATATATTTGTGATGTAAATAAACTGTAAATAATTTATTTTGCGTTTCATTTAACCTAAAGCGTATGCTTTAGAGGTTGGAGAATTAAGGTCACATGGATTATTAATAAAACTGGAGTTATCTCGCACTTGGATTATTTAAATAGAGCCGTTTACCGCTCGACGGCGTTACAACTGGTGGCAACGGTGGGATTTTATTCCAGTTGGATATTATTTCGGTGATTTTATTTATTTATTTTTCTGTGACATTTATTTATTATGTGATTTCTACCAATGAGGATGGATAGGATTTCGTTCATTACGTGTTATACGATTTTCAAGAACGGATCTGGATATCGTAAGTCTATAGTTGATCTGGAGAACTACAAACTTGTGTGTGAAAAATGCAGAAACGAGTTTCCACGGAGTCAGGCCAAAGAAAAATGTTTATTTGTTGTGAAAACTGTGAACTTTCTGTGTTTAAATACCGATGCGTAAATTGTGGCCATATCAACAGTTGCTAGTGTTTGGAAGGAAAACGGAATAGAGTGATACTGCTCGGATTATTATTTTTATGTGTGTGTTTACTAATTATGGATTTCAGAAATACTCCACCCCAAAGACTGGCACATATTTATGACTATGATGACTCTGGGAAATTAGTACTAGTGCGAATTGAGAATTACTATTTACGCAAAGAGTGTCCGAATTGTTTTAATATGTTTCTGAAAAGTGAAAATCAACATATTCTGGATAATGGAAAAACTGTGAGGAGATTTTACAAGTGTCCGTCGTGTGCATGCCGGATTAGGATGAATAATTAGTGATTTCTGTGAATTCGCAATCTGGATCCCTTTGTGATTTTTGTGCTTTTGACGCACTGTGCTCTTTTCTTAAAAATGTTTCAAGGCGGTAATCGCACTACACATTCGCCAGCAGATATGGATTTAACTTTTACTTCGCCTAGTAGTTTCCACAAACTACTCCAAGACCAAGAACTTCTGTGAGGCGGAATCTATTACAGGATTTTGAAAGTGAATTACCGTCTCCGATTGTTGCCAATACGGAATCACCACAGAATAGAATTGTGAATGGAGAGAACTGCACGGAAGCGCAGAATGAGAGTACGTGGTATTCAGGGATAACAATTTGGATAAGTGGAATACTTGCCCTCGTTTTGACTGTGTTAGGAGTGTTTCGCTACATTCCTCAAAATTTACTGTCACGCTTGACACATGAGGCATTGGGAAATATTGGAATATCATTATTAGGCTTGATTGTGTGTGCTGTTGTTTGGAAAATTTGTCAATCTACTCAGAAAAGGACTACGCGTAATGGTGGACGGATAACTAGCACTGTGCGGAATAATTCAACGGATAGAGCACCAGATCAGGAAGCCGGAAGTTACAATGAGGAAGTTGGATTGCCAGGACGGGGATTAAACATTCAGGTCAAACGCACATTCAAAGGAGAAGGAACAGAGGTGTGGAGTGAATTTGTGAGATATTTGGAGAATATTGCTGCGTTAAATAATTGGTCCATTGACATGAGACGAAGAGTTCTTATTACTACATTCCGTGGACAAGCGGAAGCAATCGCATATGGACTACCAGATAATATTATAGGGAACTATAACCAACTTAAACTACAAATGGACAACAGATTCGGACATACTGCGATGAAGGAGAGCTATATCGTGGAGGCAAAAATGCGGAAAAAGCTCCAGACAGAATCGTTCCGAGATTTTGGCCAAGCGATAGCTGATTTGTATAGAAGAGCTCACCCTGGAAATCGAGACTATGTGGAAGAAGCTAGTCTTAAAACTTTTATGGACAACTGTAATCATGATGACGATTTCCGCTTAGCTGTGAAGCGCACTAGACCAAAAAGCCTACAGGAAGCAGTGACTGCTGCGATGCAGGAGGAATGCATTCGTATGACAGAGAATCGGAATTTAAGAAACAGGGAAAACAACCCTGTAAGACCCATTTATAGAGTTAGCGAGTTCTCCCCTCAGGGAAAAGTCCCAGTGACCAGGAAAACGTACCGCGCTTATCCAGATATTGAGGACAAAAGAAAAACTTTGAAGAAATGTTATGGCTGTAATTCTTCATGCATTTGTATAAAGACTGTCCAAAGCGAAAAAATGCTGTTAGCCAACCCCCCCCCCAGAAATCTTTAAATTTAAGAGTGTCGAGGCAGTAGGCCATGTGTCGGCACAGCAGTTAGTTAAGCGGCCTAGTACAGGAGAGGAACAACGTCAGGATGATAGCAGTGTAGAAATGCCTGCAGTATCAACTCAAACAGATGTTGGAAATTTGCACTTGAATTACGAGTCTAACGAGAAAAATCAAGGAGTTATAGAAATTAGAGGAAAACCAGGAATGAGATTAGATGGCTTAGTGGAAGGCACATCGTTAGAATGGAAATTTGACACTGGTGCAATGAACACGTTCATAACAGAAGAGGTTTATTGGAACATTCTTCCAGAACACAGACCTGTGCTGGAGCGCGCTAAAAAGCAATTTAATACAGCCGACGGAAGAAAATTGAAAGTTACGGGAACTGCAAAAATGATACTTTCTTTTCAAGGACTTCAAGTGATATTTTGAGTGTTTGTGGCAGACGTAAAATGTAATTTACTGGGCCAAGATTTTATCACTAAATTCCAGTGTCAATGGAACTATGTATCTAATGTGTGCAACCTTAATTCAGATGCTGAAGTCTTGCGGGGATATTATATTATTAGCATGGAGGACAGTGTTGTTCCAGCTCATCATGAGAGTATTATAAAGGCTACATTCGATAGTAGTGTAGATGCTTGTGATGGGGTGCTGTTACCTCTAAAATCATTTGTACATAATCATGGGTTAGCTGTGGCAAGAGAGTTAGTGAAATCTACACGTGGTGAAAATAATATTTTTGTGCGCGTGTTTAATCCGAATGACCATGACGTTTATGTACAGAAGTGTACCGACATAGCTGTGTTTGATCCTGTAGAAACTGTGTCAACATTGAAAACCCCGGAAGTGTGTGGTGTAATGTCAGGAGGCGACAAATTGCCAGAGCATCTAGAACAAGTTTTTAAAGAAGCGAGTGAAAATCTAACTGAAGAGCAAGCGGCAAAGTTTAAGAACTTTCTCTTAGCTCGTGTGGACGCGTTTGCAGACCCAAACAAACCAGTGGAGCGTGCAACGATTGGGGAACATCGCATTAAGTTAAAGGAAGAAATTCCCCTTAAGGAACCAGTGCGCAGGGTACCTATTTTCAAGAGGGAAATAATGGATGAGGAAATCAAGAAATTAGAAGAACAGGGATTAATAGAGAAGTCCAACAGTCCCTGGTCCGCTCCTATTGTATTAGTCCAGAAGAAGGACAAAAGCTGGAGGCTTTGTGTCGATTATCGGAAATTAAATGCGAATACCATCAAAGACGCTTATCCGATACCTCGTGTGGCAGATGATCTCGATTCCCTCGATGGATCTACATGGTTTTCTTCATTAGATCTCAATATGGCTTACCATCAAATTCCTATGAGTGAGGAGGATAAGGAGAAAACAGCGTTTGCTACACCTCGTGGTGGCCTTTACCATTATACGGTTATGCCTTTTGGATTATGCAACGCCCCGGCAACGTTTCAAAGAGTTATAGAACAGGCGTTAAATGGACTACAGTGGCATATAACAGTCTTATATTTGGATGACATTATTGTGTACAGTCGTACTTTTGACGAACATTTAGATAATCTTAGTTTAGTATTAGATAGATTGCGGAGTGTAAACCTAAAACTAAAAGCGAAGAAGTGCAATTTCTTTAGGCGGGAAGTGAGCTTTCTTGGACATATCGTTTCAAAGGAGGGTATTAAAACAGATCCTTCAAAAATAGAAGCTGTGAAAAACTGGAAAACACCGAGCAATGTAACGGAACTTAGAAGTTTCTTAGGACTAGCAGCGTATTACAGGAGATTCATTCAAGACTTTGCTAAAACCGCAAAATGTCTGCATATTCTTACTGGGAAAAATCAAGAATGGAATTGGACGCAAGAATGTGATACAGCGTTCGAAGTTTTGAAACAGAAATTAATATCTGCACCTATTCTTGGATATCCCGATGTGAATGCTGGTGATTTTATACTAGACACTGATGCTAGCAACGAGGCTATAGGCGCTGTGTTATCGCAGATTCAGAATGGAAGAGAAATTGTGATTTCCTATGGAAGCCGTGTGTTGAATAATTCTGAAAGAAATTATTGTGTTACACGCAAGGAAATGCTAGCTGTTGTGTACTTTGTTCAAGACTTTAAGCACTATTTACTTGGTCGAGAGTTTTTGCTTAGAACAGACCATGGATCCTTGGTGTGGCTTCGTAGATTCCGAGAACCGGATGGACAAATTGCGCGGTGGCTACAGCGACTTGGACCGTACATATTTAAAATTGAACATAGGGCTGGGAAACGACATGGAAATGCAGATGCATTATCTCGTGTTTCTTGTGAATCGAAATGTAAACAGTGTAAACGTGAGAAAAGTGAAGGAAGTGAAATTCAGAAATATTCACGTTTCCGAACTAAGGAATAATTCAAAAGGAAGTGTCAATCACGTGTTTGATTTAAGTGTATTGTTTAAGGATAACACGAACTCTGAAAAATCAAGTGATTGTGCCGTTATTTCTCCTGTGAAGAAGAAGCGAACAAATAGACCAATGCGAGCAAAGATTCGGAAACAACCGGAGGAGTCATTAAACCGAAAAAATATTCGAGAGAAACAACAGAATGACCCTGGAATGCGCGTTATTCTCCATTGGATGGAAAAGAATGAAAAACCGCCATTATCAGCTGTGTCATGTGAAAACTTCGAGTGCAAATATTGGTATTCAAGATGGGATTTATTGTGCATTGATCAAGGTGTTCTGTGTATTCGCTGGATTTCAAATAATAGTGAGGAACTAAAGATATGTCTACCACGGAAACTGCGTCAAGTTGTGTTATGGCACTTCCATGACTCTAATGTTGGAGGTCATATGGGTGTCAAAAAGACTTTAGAAAAAGTCAGGAATTCCGATTATTATTGGCCTAGGATGCGACAATTCGTTCATGACTACGTATTATCGTTTGATGTGTGTGAAGAGAGGAAAAATCCGCCTCGGAAAAAGAGATCGCGTATGAAAACTTTCCTGAGTGGTGAAACCTTTCAAAGAATAGTACTGGACTTAGCCGGACCATTCCCAAAGTCAGATAATGGATATTCTTACATTCTGGTAGTGATGGATTATTTTACAAAATTTGCTGAGATATTTCCACTCATGAACATGGAAGCTGAAACGGTAGCCGAGGTCCTGTTTAAAGGATGGATTAAGAGATACGGATGTCCTGGAGCTATTCACTCAGACCAAGGAAAACAATTCGAAAGTAAACTTTTCCAGGAAATGTGCCGATTATTTCAAATTGACAAAACGCGTACTTCATATCATCCCCAGTCAGACGGAATGGTAGAGAGGATGAACAGAACGATAAAAGACATGCTGTCTAAGTACATTAATGCAAATCAAACTGATTGGGACCGTTTTGTGGATGGCATCGTTCTCGCGTACAGCACTACTCCGCATGAAACTACACGGATTTCGCCATATAGACTAGTTTTTGGTAAAGAAGCCAAATTACCGATAAATGTTCTGACTGAAAATGAAGCGATGAAAACGCCCGAAAAAGATGCGAACAGAGCAGTTTATGTGCGCGATTTAGAGGAAAAACTTTCCACAATTCATGATTACGCAAGGGAAGTTACGAAAGAAGCATCTCAGAGACAGAAAAATTATTTTGATCGTAACGTGCGTGAAGCTAATTATGAAGTTGGAGATTTAGTACGGAGAAGTCAACCAAAAGTTGATAAGGGACAAAAGTTAAAACTGTCGAGAAAATGGACTGGGCCATGGATAATAATGAGAAGATTAAGTGATGTGCTTTATGAAATTAAGCATTCAAAACAGTCGAAACCCGTCACAGTGCACGCCGACAACATCAAACCCTACCGCGGAGAGCGACAGCAGTCCCGCTATACAACCAGCGAGACAGCGGAATACAAGGGTGGCGAGACACCAGACGGTCAACATTGGCACGCGTCTGGACCAGGCCGGTGGCGTTTGAAGTTACCGCTAGCTCCGCCCCCGAGAACAGACAATTCGGAAGCTGACCAATCAGAACCAAGAACGAAGATGACCCGAGGAGGACGGACTATAAGAACCCCCATCCGTTTCAGAAAATAAACATTCGACAAATGTTGTGCGAAACTTGTGGACAGACATTCAGCACCAGCAGTAATCTTCACCAGCATACCAAAGAGAAACATAGTGATCATGTAAATAGTTTACAGTGTAGTTATTGCCAGAGACCCTTTTTGCGAAGATTTAATTTGAAAAGACACTTGACTTCAGTTCACAAACTGAATTGTGAACAATTAGAAGCAGCCATGCCCTCAAAGCGGAGACGAGTCGAGCGTGATGACTTCTTTGAATCCAGGAAAGGTGGCAGAGGATAGTTTCGAATAAAGTACCGGTCAAAAAATAGAAAAAAGAGAGAAACCTGAGGTTTGAATGCATATTATAGGTAATTTTATAGGTAGAATATTTTATGGGTGCATTTGGAGGGAATTGGTGACCTTGTATATTTTATTGAAATATGACACTTTAATGTCACTACTACTGTATAGGGGATATGGACTAGAAATACGAAACTAAGCTCAAAACTCGCTCTACCGGTTTTTCACCAGAAAAGCGGGGTGGGTTCACAGGATGAATTGTAGCTTGAAAACGAGGTGGTTGAGCCCATATCTCTTGCTGTTCATTGGTATGTACAAATGTTATTCTGCAATTTGTGTGGTAGCTTAGGTCATCAGCACGGGCCTGGAAGCAGATGCGACTGCGGCGAAATAGTGAAAATAGGCTTGATTCACATGAAATTTTGAGATTATCCCTGCGCTATCTTTAGGGCTCATTATGTAAGTTGTACATGTTTTATTCCTAAAAGCTTCAAATTTCTCAAGGGACTACATCATACTATTATTACATGTAGAGGGAATTTAAAATTTTTCAATGCACATTTTAAAAGCAGCTCAATATTAAGTAAACCGTCAGTCAAACGTTTTGATTGCAAAAAAAACTATCCTCTGCCACCTTCAAGAATGCATCAATTTTTAGAAATGTGAATTTTCGTCTGATTTTTATACAAAAGGGTTTATTTATGTATGCCAAATTAAAAGAATACTTTATTTCTGTTATTTAAAATCTGTACAATTGGGTATATTTACTAAAAAGCTAGGGGGGTTACTCTTTTCCAGCATACATTTTTAAAGACTTTGAACCATCAGCATAATAAATCATATAAGATTTAGGCATTTTTTGCCAGAGAATAAATTAATTGTTTGAATTTGATACTTTGGGTATTGTCGCATAATTAAAATCTTGTCTTGCTTTAATTAATTTAATCTAATTAAAATTTAAGTGTATTAATTAGTGCGATATCACTGAAATTACATAAATTTGCCATTTTTTTAACCTAATTTACTAAATATAATTATTTTGAAAATAAAAATCTGTCAGCATACCTAAATGTCACTAACCCTAACCATATATAGTACAAAAAAAACTTTTTTTGCTTTATTTTTCCAAATTTAACCTATTCTGTTATTGATATTTTCATGAAATATGCCCCCCCCCTTTCAATTTTTAAATTTATTTATATTTAAATGTGACAGAATCTAAATTTTTCAATGGTTTGCTATAAAATGACTATTTTTCTTTGAATAATAACAAAACAAAGAGTTTGTATTGCATATTTATTGAAGTAATAGCAAGAAAATGTGCATTTTCATGTAATTATTGAATTCTGCTAGGCCCATATAATCTGCCCACAATTGCCCAGGATGGACAGAATAATCACTTTTAATTTTCAGGAGAATGAAATGTTTGTATTTGATTACTCATAACTGTTAAAAGGAAATATCAGACACTTAGAAAGAATTCATTTAGGACAAACAGATTTTTACAGTGCATTTTCATTACACTGAAGAAATGGCTGCAGGGGTAGGTGTTGAACTGCCATTTCCTGGACACTTTTTCTTTAGAATGTGGTGCAAGGGTTTTTTTTGCATATCATGATAAATATCTTGAAAGTTGAAAGGGGTTTTAACTTTGCAAAGAAGTTATAGGTATATAAAACCAAGTGAAAAAGGGATAAAATGGAATTTCATAGAACATGAAAAATAGGGGAGTATGTGATACATGTGAGTACATTTCACCAAGATGTGCTCTTTGTATTTGACTTTTTACATATAAATGTATTTGAAATTGATTAAAATTACTATTTAACACTTTTTTGATGGTATATTGATCATCTGGAGTTGTAAGAATTGCATTTGTTTTATGTGTAAGAAACAATATGGGGTTAAGGTGGTTGGCCGAGAACTGGTGAGGTCTCTTATTTGGCCATAACTTTTTTATTTTTCAATGAATCAAGACATATTTGGTATATTTTTACTCAGAATTGCATGTTCTTTTTGAATTGAGCAAGGTTTATTACTTGCAAGACAAACTTTGAAAGTTAAAGGTGGCAGAGGATAGTTTCGAATAAAGTACTGGTCAAAAAATAGAAAAAATAGAGAAACCTGAGGTTTGAATGCATATTATAGGTAATTTTATAGGTAGAATATTTTATGGGTGCATTTGGAGGGAATTGGTGACCTTGTATATTTTATTGAAATATGACACTTTAGTGTCACTACTACTGTATAGGGGATATGGACTAGAAATACGAAACTAAGCTCAAAACTCGCTCTACCGGTATTTCACCAGAAAAGCGGGGTGGGTTCACAGGATGAATTGTAGCTTGAAAACGAGGTGGTTGAGCCCATATCTCTTGCTGTTCATTGGTATGTACAAATGTTATTCTGCAATTTGTGTGGTAGCTTAGGTCATCAGCACGGGCCTGGAAGCAGATGCGACTGCGGCGAAATAGTGAAAATAGGCTTGATTCACATGAAATTTTGAGATTATCCCTGCGCCATCTTTAGGGCTCATTATGTAAGTTGTACATGTTTTATTCCTAAAAGCTTCAAATTTCTCAAGGGACTACATCATACTATTATTACATGTAGAGGGAATTTAAAATTTTTCAATGCACATTTTAAAAGCAGGCTGGCTCAATATTAAGTAAACCGTCAGTCAAACGTTTTGATTGCAAAAAAAACTATCCTCTGCCACCAAACCTGTCTACGTTCATAGCGACTTGTACGAAGACATTTCGTCCGATGAGAACGATGAGACTTACTGTGACGTGCAAGAGACTGATGTGACCAATGTGAATTATCTGGATGATATTTCTTTTGCATCAGAATTGCCGGAGATCGACGAATCTCTGGTAGAAGACATTCTCCATAATTGTGCAGACTTTACTAGTGACCGAATAGTCGAGATGTTGGAAGACGAGTCAACGGACACCCGGGAAGTTATCTTTATAGACGAGGACAGCCAACCAGAAACGAGTGCTTGTGACAGTGATCGTGACAGTGAACATCGGGACACTGATCTCACGCAGAGATCAACAATTTGTCTGGTGTTACATAAGACAGTGAAACGTAACCTAGATGGTACGGAAGAAATAAGCAGAGACTCTCATATCGTTTATTCAGAAGACCTTAACCCCGATGATATTGACTTTCCAAATGTGGCTAATGAAATCCTGAAGGAGGTACCGAAACATTTCGAAGACGGCCATGTTCGGATTGTGAAAGGCGACATTTCCGTATGAGCAGAACTTTAATATTTTGATGAACAGACTTGTGAATATTTGAAAATTTGTCATGCTTTAATTGTATATATTGACTGCTTATTATGCGTAAAGTTTTATTGATTTGTTTGTGTTTATAAAAATTGCTTATAATGAACTGGCTGCACTTAGAGTTATATTATTAAGTCGTATGTTTGATATTTGAATTTAAATTATGTCTTAATTGTCTGTTTTACATGTATTATAATAGGGGTAATCATTTCGTATTTTATATTGTACATAAATTTTGATCGGAGTCAAAAGCTTAAGTAGGGGGGAGTTGTAACGGTATCTTGTAGTATTATTCTGTTTTACTGTTACGCAATGTTTGTTTACATGTCATTGCTCCGCGCGAGCAATGTCGTTACATAACTGACCCCGTTAAAAAAGATTGCTCCTCATGAGCAATGCATATTATGTATATATATAGGTCGAGTAAATGCTTAGGGGCAGTCAGTCTTATTAATTCTATTACGGGATATACATGTAGGAAAAAGTGCAGTCCGGCCAGTGATTTATTATGTGTGAAACTTGGATATATTTGTGATGTAAATAAACTGTAAATAATTTATTTTGCGTTTCATTTAACCTAAAGCGTATGCTTTAGAGGTTGGAGAATTAAGGTCACATGGATTATTAATAAAACTGGAGTTATCTCGCACTTGGATTATTTAAATAGAGCCGTTTACCGCTCGACGGCGTTACATTGAATATGATTTTTATCCAACGCCAAGGCTCGGGGATAAAAAAAAAAACAAACCACGCAACTCGTTGGATAAAAATCATATCCAACTACAAATCATGGGAGATCCTTTTTATCCCATGTATAATACTTCACAATCAGATAGGATTTTTATCCAACGAATTGCGTGTTTTTTTTTCATCCCCAAGCCTTGACGAGGGTATAAAAACACACAACGAGTTGGATAAAAATCATATCCAACTACAAATCATGGGAGATTCTTTTTATCCCATGTTTATTACTTCACACTCAATGTTTTACACATTTTCTGCATATTTTACTTCATTACGCTAACGCAAAACCCATTGTGATGTCACAACTGTGGGATACGAAAACGATATATATCACATGAGCTATACCCACGGGATAAAGAGATAAACATGGGATAAAACATATTCGATTGTTATACCTGAAAAAATTTGTTCGTATACAAATCTTTACGAGAAAAAGACCGCAATTTCTAATGATTTGCTGAGAGGTCATAAAAAAAAATCGATGTTGGACCGCTGAGTGAGATCTTGGACCGGTCGATGAGATGTTGGACCCCCTTCGTCACAGATTGGACTTACTATCATTTTCATTCGTTTGTGTTCTTGAAAAAGTGACGGACCTGAGGTGAAATCATGGAAGACAGTACAAAGTACATGTATGTCAAAAAAATTAAAATGAAAGGTATAACAAAACATTTATTGACTATGTTCTCAAGAAAAATGCTAGTGAAATTTATATAATTATATATCAATAAAATATGGTATGAAGAATTCTCGGGAAATGACAGTCCGAAGTAGGAAAAATGGAAATCTCGGTAGTTTTACATTATTCGGAAGGCTTTTTCTATGGTTTTTCTTTTTGTGTACATACAAATGTACAAAAATTGCCTAGCTCCTACCGTCTTTGTGATAAAGATTGATCTTAAAGTAAAACAATAGGTTTTTAAATCAATAAGTTTCCAAATAGCCGGGGTATTTATATATATGCATTTGTATAAAAAAATGCAAATAGGTGATGTCACTGATTCAAAACGAACAAGTTAGAATCTCAGAAAAATTGCACAAAATCTGTAAAATGTTCGCAATGTAACGGCGTCCCTAAGGCGACCGACGCGTTTCTACGGCGTTCTCGTGGCAAATTGCGATTCAACAAAATCTCGCGTTCACGACGTTCTCTTTGCGATGGATGCGTACAATTTTTGTCTTTATTATGAATGTAAAAAATGAACACACTGAAAAATTGTAATCAATTTGAAGTAATAACACATTTACTCCACTGAAATAATAGAATAAGTTCTGGTGTAAGAAAAAGATATTTGCCCTAAAATTCAATGTTATTGAAAATTTATGAAAAGGGTTTTAACAAAAGTTTAGTTGATAGATATGATAAATCTTAAAGAATATTAAGGAAGACCATTATGGAAATTATGGACATTTTTAAGTTTTATGCAGAAAAGCTTCAAAATGACTCATTTCTGATTTTTCCTTAAGATACTAATGTCTCTGTGGGCGATGCATGTACTACATATGTTTTCTGAAAGAAAATTCCACCGAAAATTGATGTCTTCTGCAACTTTAAAAGAAAAAAGGAGAAAATGAACAAGTTTATGGTGTAACAATTAGCATTAAGGATGTCATATTGGAAGAATAGATCTGTATGTTTTTACTGTATGGAATTTTAATAATTCAGAAAAGATAAATTTTAATTTCTTACGTTACTTCTAAAAAAAAAATAAAGGACCGTTTTGTATCGAATCCGTACCTTGTTCTTTCCATTTAACAATTCTACTTAAAGACTCCCATGCTCTTGACCATTGCTGATCAAATAAGAGGTCATTGCTCTTGCTTCGTGAGCTGGCTGACAACGCTTCAACAACGCCTTGTGATCGCCAATGGAAGAGATAGAAACGCAAAGAGAGTGCAATGATTTTAGTGACAACTCCATGTTGTCGTTGTCTTATCGCAGTCTAAAAAATAAGAACATTAATCTCATTAGAAGCGCCGCAAAACGCGATAGAAACCTCCAAGGTTCTGCAAGGTTTCCTTGGAAGCGCATTCCACTATCACTGCGTTCTTGCTGTGATTATGTGCGTCTTCAAGGCGTGCATACGAAGCTCCCATTGCGTTGTTGGATATCTCACCGCGCTTCAACGGCGATCATACTACGTTTCCTCTTCGTTTTTATCAGACTGTCTTCACACGGCGCATACCTTGTGCATGCTCGAAGTGCGCGCCTCCTTCTGGCGTTAAGGAGATCACGTGCGAATCTATTTCGTTTAGTGGAGATCTTGCAGCGTTGTCAAGGTGCTGTAGGAGACTCTACTGCGACCACCTTTGCATTTTTATGTGACAGGGATGTAAATGGTCTTTAATACCAAAACTCATTGTAAACGACAATGTCTTTCTGTTTTAGCAACAGATAGGGAAACTGGTTATTCTATTTATATATATGACGACATATTGTTTGTTCCTCCCTCCGGGAACACAGGGAGAGAAGTTTATCATCATTACCCCATGTCAGGCTGTCTAAACTCGATTCAGAACATAACTGTGAATAAATTGGCACAAGGAGTAGCCTTTTTTAACGAAAGACCTAATGGATTTATGTCAAACTGTGGGGAAAAATTTAGGACATCTGTAGAAATATGCGAAGTGAGAGTAATGGGTAAGTTGCACTTTCTGGTTTTGAGAAGTAAAAAAAAAAAATAAATAAATAAATAAAGAGTATTTGATTAATTCAACCCCTCCGGGGTGAACTGTAATAAATTTACTTCCTTCCAAATTAAGATAAGAAGTATGACGATTTTTAGTGACATTTATTCGTGGTGTTTTAGATTTAAATATATCTGCGACAAAAATTTACATAAAGGAGAAGCCAAAATAAAAAGTTTATGGCAAAAATACTAGTAATTCACGAGTAAAAGAAGACCATTAACTAATCTTTAACATATTTCTAGCATGCGAATAATAGTTGGCTTGCAGTGAATTCGACTTTAAGAAATTCTATGATATATAATGTGGAATTGAAATATATTTTTGATAGATCTAATTGGGCTTCTGTATACATGTATCTTATAGGTTGTGAACAAAATAAATACAGTTTTGGATGTAGTGACGAATGCAGTTCTAAGTGTAAAGACAAACATTGTGATGTTTTTAACGGATCGTGCATTTATGGCTGTTCTGATCCAAGTGATGTATCTCTTAGTTGTGGTGGTAAGTTTGATTTGGATAAAAAAAGAAGTATTAAAGTTTTAAATATCAAAACAAAACGTGTTTGTGAAACACAATGCGCCCGGTGGCAACAAAGTTCAATAAAGCTATTTTTAGCATACAGGTCACAGTCAAGATCACAAGGTAATTGATTTTAGTGTTATTTCAAAGAAATTAAAATATTCGAATATGCATATTAAATGTGAAGTATCTATCTTCTATGGTGCAAAAGTTATATTGTGAACGTTCGAAAAAACTATTTTTAGTATATAGGTCACAGTCAAGGTAAAAAAGTCATTGACCTTGGAGTCATTTGAAAGAGCTTTATTCGTGGGGTATGCATACCAAATATGAAGTCTCTATATATCTCTAGGAGTTTAAAAGTTATTGCGAAGGTTAAAGTTGACAACAGACAGACAAACAAAACGGCAGGACAAAAACAATAAGCACCACGAATCTATTGATCCAGGCGCATAAAAATGGAAAGTGCATTTGTTAGACCTTTTAAAATTATGTCCTAATAAATATGCATTTCCAAAGTTTTACTGAGCGGGCATATAAAAATGGATGTTAGACCACAGAAAGAGATGTTAGACCTCTCGATGAGATATGTTAGAACCCTTACACCGCAGGGTGGGCGGGGCCAGCTATGTTTTATTTGCACTCGTTGGATTTCGACAGAACTGCAGTGCTGGTGAACAAAATTTACATCACATTTACGATTGTTACTCATTTATCTTAAAAGAAAGTAAAAGGTACAAGTATTGGCTTTCCTAAAAAGCTTGTCTGACGTGGTTTGCTAAAATTCATACAACGGAAAAAAATAATATATTATGTTATATAATTTCTTTCGTTCGATAATTTATCTGCAATAGACCATGCGTAATCAATACTGTATACAATAATGTACAAAGAACTTTAAATTGAAGCTCCTGGCACCAGGATCATAAAACAAACTAAGACTTGAGTGAAATTTTTAATCGCCGATAAAATATTTATTAATTATGGAATTTATTTCTTCATTTGCACATAAAAACATCTCTGTGAAACAATATTACAAATATCTCTAACCCTTCTGGTCTGTTTGACTTTTACTACATTTTATTATAAAATAAAGATTTTGGTCGACTTAGGCTGAAGATGTTTCAAGATCCCAGGTCAGCTTTTTTCAAGAAATGTTTTATATGTTAAATGACCTAACTGATTTTTTATTCAACAAACAGAATAAAATTAAGGTTGTAAATGATGTCATCAATGGGAAGATCTTTGACCACTTAATGGGCGCGTATAACTCTAACCCTAACCCTGGTGATAACAATCTTGGCATAGCGTTACACATGCTGACCATTCCCCTGCTGTTCTTGAAAGCTTTTATTGCTTCCCAAACCATTTGATTTACAATGATTCTCTACTTTACTCTGTTACGTAATTGATTGTTGAAATTCTGAACTGAAGCATCTGGGAAAAGAAACAAGAAGATGTAAACTAATTTACAATGTAATATCGTCCAAAATCAAATCGTTGGATAGGAGTGATGAAGTAACATACAAATCTATTCACACAATAAAGAATTAAAAGCAAACTTGAATAAAACATTTTTTCTGTTTTCACTGCATTTTTCTCAGGCACTGTATGAACAGTTTTTAGGTCACCTGAGTCACTAAGGTGACCTATTGCTACCGTAAATCTGGAAATTTTTACGTCGATTTTATTTTGCGAATTCGGGTGTAAATGGTGTTTATTAATTTTTACGTTTCAAAATTGTGCGAATTACCACTGCTTTGTTTACATTTTCTTATTGGTAATTTATTTTTAAGAAAAATATTTTTGCGAATATAATGAACTCGCAAATTTGCTAAAAATTTATCTACAGCAAAAATTTCCAGATTTACGGTATCCGTTTTCGTCCGTCGTGTTTTAACATTTTCAGCTTCTTCTCTGCAACCACTCAACCAATTTCAACCAAATTTGGTATATAGCATCTATGGATGAAGGGAAACAGAAATTTTGAATATCATGGTCCCTGCCCCCCTGGGGCCTGAGGGGTGGGGCCAAAACCACTAAAATTAATGAAATCTTTAAAAATCTTCTTCTTTACTGCTAGACATCGAGCAGGCAAACTGTTAGCATGAATGTAATCACCATTGAATCCTCTACCAAAATTGTGAAATTCATGTCCCCAGGGTTAGGGGTTCTTGTGCTAGGGCGGGGCTATATAGATTATATTGTGAAAATGCATTATTTCATTGAAAAAATTTTTCTCTGCTCCTGGGTATTAAATAAACTAAGTAGTACACATAGTTATGATGGGCAAGAGTACCTCTTCTGAAATTGTGAATTTCATGGCCCCAGGGTCAGGTGTTCTGGTGTTAGGGTGGGGCTCTATTGATTATATAGTGAAAACGCATTAATTCTTTGAAAATCTTCTTCTCTGCTCCTGGGTATTAAATAAAAACTAACTAACTGTATAGTTATGATGAGCAAGAGTGCCTATTCCAAAATTGTGAATTTCATGGCCCCAGGGTCAGGGGTTCTGGTGTTAGGGCGGGGCTCTATGGATTACATAGTGAAAATGCATTAATTCTTTGAAAATCTTCTTCTCTGCTCCTGGGTATTAAACTAACTAAGTACATAGTTATGATGAGCAAGAGTGTCTATTCCACAATTGTGAATTTCATGGCCCCAGGGTCAGGGGTTCTGGTGTTAGGGCGGGGCTCTATGGATTATATAGTGAAAATGCATTAATTCTTTGAAAAACTTTCTCTCTGCCTCTGGGTATTAAATAAACTAACTAAGTACATAGTTATGATGAGCAAGAGTGCCTATTCCAAAATTGTGAATTTCATGGCTCCATGGTCAGTGGTTCCTTTAGGGTGGGGTGCACAACTGTTTATAAAGTGGAAGTGCATTTTCTCTTTTTTATACTGATCTACCTCTGGGTAATAAGTAAATAGAGTAAGTATGCTAAGTTTATAGTTATGATAAGCAATGGTGTCTTTTTCAAAATTGTGAATTTTATGGCCTCTGGTTTAAAACAGAACCAAATTTAATTGTTGGAAAGCTGTTACATGATACTCGGGTGACCTATAAAGCCCGTGGGCCTCTTGTTACAATACTGGGAGCAGGGCAACTAAGAGAAAATATTTGACCACGTGCCTGATGCTTAGGTACTAGTAATTCAATGTCAAGGTATAATTTTACTCATAATAAGCAATCAATTATTTAACCATAACATGTAAAATGCCTTAATCTTGATACACAACACAAAACAGTGAGATCTATATAATAAGGCATTTTTATAGAGGACTGAAGCAGACATATTGAATATCAAAATTGAAAGCACGGATTATATTACTTAATCATTACATTTACTTACACACGATCATTCAGTAATGTAAATAAAATCTCACTTCTTCCTGGGACGAACTCATGCGTCTTTGGAGATTATGCATGTATCGAAATTTCCACCATCGAACTATCTAAACAATTTCATGGAACGACTGCATAAATAAGCCCTGGTTAAATCTAGTACTGTCTGACGCCGTGACGTCAGACAATAACAAAAGGTTTATTGACTGTGTTCATACACGTATGTCAAAAAACTGTAGGGTATAACAAAACATTATACATGCATTTATTGACTGAGTTCGAGGGCAACATGCGTTTTGTTGGACCCAAGAACCAAACTGTCTGCTTGAGGCCGTTAAGCCGAAGGCAGACAGTTTGGTTCGAGTCGAGGATCGACAAAACGCATTTTGCCCTAGAACTCAGTCAGTATATGTTTTGTTATACCTTTTATATTATTTTGACATACGTGTATTTCGTACTATTTTCCATGGTGTAACATCAGGTCCGTCACTGTTGAACACCAACGAATGAAAATGAGATTAAGCTCCGCTCATTCTGTGACGTAAGCGATCCAACATTTCATCGACCGGTCGAACATGTCACTCAGCGGTCCAACATCGATTTTTTTATGCCCGCTCAGCAAAACATTAGAAAAGTTAGAATTTTTTCGTATAGATTTGTATAGGATCAAATTTTAATGGGAAAACAATTGACTATATGTTCTTGGGTGACATGCGTTTTGTCGACCCTCGAACCAAACTCACTGTCTGCCTTCTTGGGTCCGACAAAACGCATGTTGCCCTCGAACTTATCAATAAATGTATAATGTTATGCCTTGAATAAACATTTTATGCATATCTGATGAATAATAAAAATATCAGCAGCTTGCGATAAGGGGACTTATGATTTCAACGGACGATGTGAACCATGTGGACATTGTAAAGAAGACAAAAAATGTGACAAAGAAACAGGAAGATGTTTTTCTGGCTGTAAGGAAAACTGGAAAGAGGATATTTGTGAAGGTTTTTAATTTTTATAGTATCTGTCTGTATAAGCATATTATTTTTTTCTAGAATTTGATTTTATGTTGAAGAGTTTTAAGCTCGGTCTACAGTAAAACACAATTTAAAGGTGCATGGACACAGATTTGAAGTTAATATTTACTGTATATCACATATAATTTAAATTAAAATTTTTATTTCATCTGAAAGTTTTTGAAACTTAAATTTTATTTTAAATTTTTTGGATGGGTTTGATTGACACATCCTTGCACTCTCACAAATTTTACTTTTATTCTTACATGTAATACTTAGGAAAAGTGGCAATCTTGTTGTGTATTAATGAAAAATATTAAAACTTAATATGTTATACAGAATATACAGAAAATATTAACTTCAAATCTGTAAGAATCAAATAACATTACTTCTTTGGATTAATATACATCTATTTACATGTATACAGTGTTCTGCAAGATGCACAAACATGACAAAGAAACCTTTAATGTAAAAAATACAAGATCACAAATGAAATTTCATTATGAATCACAAAAAATTATTTCTTATAAGAATGGTAAAAAGGAAAAGTTTGATACCCAATGGAACAGGTGGAATCTGCTGTTCTCTTAAGTTTAACCGTCTCTCTGTCTCTGTCTCTTAAATTAAAAAAAAAACATCTGGTTTTTTAAAAGCTAAAATATGTATATAATGCTGTATGGTAAAGGTAGTCAAATACCCCTGTTTTGGGCAAAATGCAAGAACATTGCATTTTCTCGAAGCCTTATTTGCAATACCTACATTCTCAAAAAGAAATTTTATTGTAGGAATAGAAAGCACCCCAAGTGTCTACTTTATTTTGATATATGAAATTGAGAAGAGGGTGATAGTCAATTAATTGATATTAGGACATGGCCATGCATAAAGTGAAAATACCCCTTTTCCTTTGTCATTTTGTATACATAATATGCATATATATATAGGTTATGAGCCCTGGAAGCCATTCCCATTATTTATACTTGTGAAAAGTATGATTCCTAGTTTATTTTGTCCAGTATATATAAAATGACGAGGAACATATTTGTAAACTTTGCTTAAACTACTGAAAGGCTTAATTTCTATTATATTTTACATTATATAAACATGAATCGATTTGATTTAATTTAATGAATGCATGTATCATATCCATTTATCTTGCAATTGTTGCACTTTTTTGCTTTAACGAAAATAAGAAATATTTTGCATTTTTCTTAATTTCCTAATTTTAAAAATAATCAATTATGTGTGAGGCAGATTCTACTATTTATTTTTCAATCTTGTTTATTAATTGTTTTGAGATCATAAATAATCAAGTTGAGTTACTGTGGGTGTCTTTCCCGATTCTCGTCAATTTTATTATTCAACATGACATTTTAAAAGAACAACTTCTATTAATCATAGAATGCGTTGATGGTTACTATGACCAGAATTGCAGTACCGAGTGTGGGTATTGCCGTGAGGGATTTTGTGACAAGTACAACGGAAGTTGTTTATCTGGTTGTAAACTAAACTGGAAAGAACCATTATGTCAAGGTAAATGCATTATTAAGCATTGAATTATTGTTGATATTCTAGTCAGCTCTTTTGTATGGTGTATGGTCGTATTTCTAACATACATTGTTTGTAACTTTAATTGACGGAAATTATTAACATCGAAAACTGAATTACATGAGAAAAATGTTGAAGTTTTTCAAGATGTAACTTTTACTTTATACTAAAAGGATATCCTATAATAAATTACATTGAAATATGTTCAAGCGATATAAGAAAAATTATTACTAGTCTATTTAATTTATCAAAATATGTACATTTGAAAATAAGCTAAAAATTTCATAAGCATGTGTTTTAACATATTAGGAATTCAACTTGATAGACAATATATGGCTGAAATAGTGCCAAATTTGCATAAAACAATAATCAATCAATCCAACTTAAAACGCGTTTATGAGAGTCCTATAAGGAAAAGTAAGACACGGTGCAAATTATTGTAATAACGGCACCATCGCACATTTGTTTTTAAAACTTTAGAATGCATGGACGGATTTTATGACCAGAATTGCAGCACCCAATGTGGAAATTGTCGCGAAGGATTTTGTAGCAAGAAAGACGGAAGTTGTTTGAAAGGCTGCAAAACAAACTGGAAAGAACCCCTATGTGAAGGTAGAAGTTTTGTAATACATAAACATAAACAATGAATTCCTTTTTATTTATATACATCCAAAACATGGTTCTTTCTATCGTTGGTTATAATTTGTTTCACTATCCTACTTATTACTGAGAGAGAGAGAGAGAGAGAGAGAGAGAGAGAGAAATGGACGACTAATAAAATAAAATCCAATTTTGATATCTCCATTAACTTAATCTGACAAAAGTACATGGCGATCGACAGGACATGCTTACTATGGCACCAAATCCTAGCTATTTATGACGTTCCAAGAGGTCTCTGTTCGCTCTGCTCCATATTTGTATTGTTTCGATTGACTTTTGTTGTTCTTTTTGTTCCTATTTTGTGTGTGTGTGTGAGGGTGTTAGGGTGTGTGTGTGTGAGGGTGTGTGTGTGACGTAGGGTGTGTGTGTGTGTGAGGGAGGGTGTGTGTGAGAGAGAGTGTGTGTGTATGAGGGAGGGTGTGTGTGTGTGTGTGAGGGAGGGTGTGTGTGTGTGTTTGTTGGTGTAGGAACTGGGACGCTCGGGTTTTATCCTAAAACTTACAATAGAAAATACAATACACGTAGAAAACAATTTAATGCAATGTCCATATAATTAAACAAATAATCATTTAGAATGTGTTGACGGGTTTTTTGATACGAACTGCAGTAGCAAGTGTGGATATTGCCTCCAAGGAACTTGTGACAAGAAAAATGGGACCTGTAGGAGTGGGTGCTTACAGAACTGGCAGGAACCCCTTTGCACTGGTAAATATTTGATATTTATTTCAAACACCACCAACATTTTTAAATATATATGTACAATATAAAGATTAGTTGAAAGTATAACAAATTATGGCATTAAGACTTCAAGTTGGTTCGATTTATTGATTTCTTTTTTCGCTGAAACAAATGGCATGTACTGTTTGGGTTACAATTTTGAGGAAGTTAAAAAGGATTCAATGAATCGACAAAACATTTAACACTGCTAAAAATACAGAAAAAAATATACAGCTTATTTATGTAGGGTTATTTGTAACCAGCAAAGATATTACTCTTCTATTTGGTCGATTTCAAATATGATTCTTACTGGAATGTAAATCATTGTAAGAAATGATGAGGACCATTCAAAATTGCTATTGCATTGCATAATTTATTACATTCTTTTTAAAAGATTAAAACCATTGCCAAAGTAATGTTAGTTTAAAAGTTATTTGCAGAATTAATTTTTGGTCTTAGTTGTAAGTTCTGTAGTAAAACGGACCCCAGATTAACATTTTATATTGTTTAATGGACTTCTGAACTTGAAATCTTTTCGTTATGTCCACATACTTTACTGTTTTATTTGACGAATTTTTATTACTGATCGTTCCTTTTTTAAGGTAATATGTGGATAGACATATATACTTAAGTCTACAGAAATGTTAAGATACTTCAGCACAATTTAACGAATTAAAGCTTTTTATGTCATTGATAAATTGTTGATTGTCTACAAATATATATGTTAATTTCCATCAAACCTGACAGTGACTTTTGATATACTTATCAAATTCTTTAGTAATAATCCTTGCAAATTTTATTATTTAATAAAAATAATATAGTCATTCTACACTTCTTGTAATGTCGATAAAATGGAACACCCTGTTAAAGAATCATACTAGTGCAATATACATAATTCAATGAAACAAGCAGGATATTCTATAATTGGTTAATGTTTTCGCACCGTTTTGAATTAATTTTTGGTCATTTTTTTCGGTTTTACCAAGCTTATTATGGCTAATTGATCTGAAACCATGGATAAAGGAAGATAATCCATATATCCTACATTAAGGAGAATCTCTACACCTAAGAAAAATAATTGATTTTTGTTGCATGCATGTTTCTAATATAAGATTCAATATTCAAAGCATTTCCTTTTACTTTTTACATTAAACATATGGAGATAACGAACAGTATTCCAGATCAAATGTCCGTTAAACAATACAAAATAGGATGAGAGCAATCACGGACCTCCAAACATTTTAGGTGGGATCACATGTCATGGAGGAGTGAGCATACCCTGCCGACCAGTCACACCCACCGTTCGTGTGCTCATTGTCATGATCGGGAAATGACGAAAACATCCGTCGTCAATTCAGTGTATAAATAATGGACTAACTCATTAGTATGAAAAACGTCAGTCAGCATTTGAATCAATGATAAATTGTATTTGCTGACAAGGTCATTGTATCGACCATAGAACATACAAAATGGTGACTTTAAACAAGCCTTCTGAAATGCTTGTTTCATCTACTTGTTTGTCAATAGTTTACCTCTTTGCAGATATTGTTCATACGTAGATGCTCTTGCGTATCTAATCAACCGAGATATGTAAACTCCGTATGCAGGAGATGAAGATATATTGCTGCTTAAGTAAGGGAAGTTGACGATACAAAAAGTTAAAAGTCATCACGTTTACCACTGGGCTTGGTTGTTAGATTACCATTAACGTTTTTTTTAAGTAAAATATCTAAATAAGAAACAGACTTTTATCTCAAGCTCAACAGGATATATCGTTTCGACATTAGAATGGAAAATACCCTTGTTATAATTTACAATATGTCATCGATATATCGAAATGCGAAGGACCGGTGTCCACTACCCACAGTGGGATTCAAATCTCTAACTTCGCAACTAACAGATCTGTTTCATATTTTACCTGGAATACTGTAACTTCCCAATCGTCGAATTCCCTTACTTATGCTGCGTTCAGAGTTGTAAAGAATATCACACTACTATTTTGATCTGGGCCCTGGTATCAGCCCGAGCGGTTGCTATCGGCCCAAGCCCGGAGGTCGCGGGCTGAGACCATCCGATGGTTGATACCATGGACGAGATCAAGTCAGTGATGTGATGTAGTTTATATCATATATCTAAAACGAAAGAAAAGAACAAATATTTAGATATTTTTCGATCATAAAGTTTATATAATTTTGTCGTAAGAAAATTAGAGTTATCTTTCTTTATTTCGATGTATCAGAAGATGTTGCTTGATGGTAAATATTCATATAGAGAAAAATTTGCCTGGTCTGGTCATTAAAAAGAATAGTCCTGCTGTTTGAAACATTTCATTTCGAAGCACAATAGATAACAAAAATGACAAGAGTTGAAAATATTTTACTTTCACCTTGGATCGAACCTGGGGTTACAACTTCTTCAAAGAATCGTTACAATTTGTAAATCTGAGATTTAATTTAACTCTTTGTTTTGTGTATAATATATATTAAATTAAAAATGGCACAAAAAAATGACAGGCTTAAGAATTTGGCAAGAATGCCACTGTGCAACTCCTTTTGAGAAGAGAGACGAAAAGCCCGTAGAAATATAGGTTTTTCACATTATTATTATTTCCTACCTGTACATACATATATACTCGGAGACTTTAAGGTGGCTCATTACATCAACAGTTTATTTTAGATTTCAATACAGCACCACTTGTAATGTAGATGTCAAATATCCAGATGGAAGTATTGATATCATAAATTTTTTTATAGAATTTTTTAGTTTTTGTCTAATTTTAGTGAAATGTTTCATTTCAAGTTTATTATTAACAGAATTTCAGAACTTTCAGTGTCAAATGATGGGCATCTTCTTAAGATAAGTACACACAGTGAAAATATCTCATAATACCTAATAATAATTTTGTTACAAAAAATAATGTTCTCCTAAAAAACAATTAATGTCATTATCTTTTTAACCTATGCATAAAACATTAAGAAAATGAGTTCTGAAGACACAAGAAATGTATTTCAATGAATTACATGTGTCAAATTGAATGAAGAATGTTTAAACGAAATGAAAAATCCAAGTTAAAAAATATTTGGTATAAAAAGTCCACTTTCAAGAGTTACCTTTCCTAATTACCCAAGACTCAAAACACTAAGGAACGTTTGACATTACATCTAAAATTCGGAACAAAGCTTTAAATTGCCAGTGTATACATTTAAATCAATAAAGCAAATATCTAAATTAACACCAACACATTAAATAGTGCAAGTAAATAACTTTTTTAATTTCAACAAGGTTGTAGATTTTAAATCGAATTTCCTCCATACAAACATTGATAGAGCTCACTGCATGCTACATTGCATTGCTATGAAATTGACACTACTTGTTTGGCGAAGATTTGACTGTTGTTCTCTTTTGCTTCTGCTTAAAAGCCATTCTTCTTGGTTCATGCATAATGAATCCGTTACTTTGTTTTCACTGTTTATAACACCGCATGTTTCATCTATTTTTAAAGCGTTTAAAAGGTCAGGGTCATATCATAGAGGTACCTGTACAATTTGTCCCCAGAGGAAACCGGTCGACACAATGGAGGTTTATTTTTTTTGGTGTGTAGTACGTCATCAAAAAGTGGTGTAATGAGCCTCCTTAAGAACGCCAATATCAAAATGTATAATAAAACAAATTCACAATTTTGATTACCTAATATTTTGTCTATGTATTGTGTTTTAAACATTTTGGCATGTATCCATAGCATCGATAAACGAAATCACTCATCCGTAACTCAGCCCGTCTCACCCGTGCTCACTTTACTTAAAGTCACTCACGTGGTTTACGAAAGAAATTTTTTTTTCATCTCTCGTCACATATACGTGCAACTTACACCATTTCAGTTAGAATATCAAAAGTTGACGTCATTCCAAGCGTTAACTGAAATGCTTAGGCTGTCTGAGCAACAGATGTATGCAATTCTTGGTCTTGTTGACGCTGGGTTAAACCAACACGATATCGCACGACGCTTCAATGTGCACCAATCTACAATAACAAGATTGCTGAGGAAAGATCGGGCAACAGAAAGTGCCAAGGACCGTCCGCGAAGTGGGCAGCCACGCGGAACAACGAGACGTCAAGATGTATTCATTAGGCAACATCATCTGCGCGACAGGTTTTTGACGTTTGTTTCAATGTCGAAAAATGTTATAGGGCGTCATGGGAGACATATCCATTCCAGAACCGTGAGACGACGATTGACAGAACATGGAATATTGTGTCGACGTCCATTGAAAGGTAATGTCTTTACTCAACGTCATCGACGACTGCGCTTCATATGGACATAGAATATGGTTGCCAGTCGTCGAAACTCGAGTGATGTAGTGTTCAGCGATGAACTGAAATTTAACTTATCCCATGCTGATTGCAGACAACGGATTTACCGATGGCTTCATGAACGTTTCGCTGCAAACTGTGTCATTCAGCATGATGCATCATGGCGTTATGGTGTGGGGAGCAATCAATCAAAATTTCAAGTCATCTTGGATTATTTTGAGGGACACTCTAACATCCAGGCGCTATATTGATAAGGTACTACGTCCGGAACTTCTTCCACTGATCCGACGTCATCAGACTGTCAATAATCCATTGACGTTTCAGCAAGACAACGCACGTTCACACACAGCCCGCATAACTATGGACTTTCTAAACGTTAATAGAGTTAACATCTTAGAATTTCCAGCTAGATCTCCCGTCCTTAATCCCATCGAACACGTGTGGGACGAGCTGGGAAGACGGTTAAAAAGACGTCAACGCCAACCCGCAAGCGTGCCAGATTTAGCACAGGCTCTACAGGAAGAGTGAAATAACGAATTCGAGCTGTATGCCAATCCATGAGGTTCCGCTTGAGAGCATATGAAGTTGCAAATGGTGGTCATACACATTACTGATCAAAATGGGAAAAATGTTGACTGTAATTTTAAGTGCTTGCCTTGAGAACATGCTGTTAACAAATTCGTTGATTGTGTTAGAAATGAAGAGATTAAAGCCGCTTGGTCCGATTCTAATCGCTAAAAATATATATTCGTTTTTCTTCTTGAAAAATATTTGTCCATAAATTGTTTCAACTTTTGTCAAATTATATCCCCAAAGTCTTTTTCTTTTGAAAGATATCAAAATTCAAAAGTTAAAAAAAAAATTTTTGTTAGGTCACACAAAAAATAATCCTATGTTGATCATTGTTGATATCGCGAGAAATTACCTTCGAAAAATTAAATTTATCGCTTACATGTTTATCTCATGAAGAACAAACCCGACCATTTTTTTTCACAGCAAAGTACATATATTACCTGTACATGGACAATATTTTAGCTCCTTTAAAAAAATCATTTAAAATATCTGATTTCCCTTTCTCCTTTAAATATGCATATCAATATGAAAATTACTATGGATTATATTCAATTAATTTCTTAATTTTGAAAAGATGTATTCAGCTGACTAAGACTTTCTACTAATAAAGAAAAAAATAATCGGGTTTGAATTATCTTCAATATTAGATATATCCGATAAACTTATTTTTTTCTAAATTGACTTCACAACAGATTTTAACTTCCGTCAGGAACTACTGTTTGTCAATAAGGTTTTTGATCTGCGTTTTCCATGTAAGGATTGTTGTAATAAACTATTAAATCAATCTTATAATTTATTTTTATATATTATCTATGTAATGACGTACTTTTATTGTGTAAGATAATATGTGCCTGTTTCGGGTTAAGCGGCTTTAAATGAGCAAAGTATGATTTTTAATAAATTTCCTACAACATGTAACATTATGTACCTATGACAATAAAAACAATTTCAATAGGCGTTTTTAAAGTCTCTGAGTATACTTTGTTAACATATTTTTATGTTTGATCATATCAAAGTAATTAAGATATTTCACATTAAATCTATAATCGATTTGATTAATTAAAGAATTTGATTCTGGTAATTGGAATATTTTCTTTAAAAAATTGAATCTTTGACATTTGTCTTTTTTGACGTTGCAGATTGCTCCGGGTGTAAGAGAATGATATCACTTAAAATCTTATTCAAATTGTTTTCAAGTAAACATGATAAAACTTCGTAAATTATCTGCCAAGAACACGCTTTATCCATCCAGAAAATTTTATAAAGATACATTTTTTCTTTAAAAGATATGAGCTCAGTCTACGAAATGTTGGGACAACCATAGTCTAATTTTGATCCGACTAGAGAGCGATCAAGTTTCAGAAAAGTATTTCTGCCTGCCACAAAATTTAATGTTTGTAATAACTTTTATTATATCTAGAGCCTTTATACATTTTCCTTTTAACGTTTTAAAAGAATCCAGCAGTTTATAATCGGAACCTTCTTAGCCTTTCTCATAAACAAGTCTTTTTGGTAAAGCCAAGATTCATTGCCAGCTCAGAAAACTTGGCCTTCAGATACCGCAAGAGGTAGTTGAGAAACAGCAAAAGTCGGACAAGTTATTTGTTTGTATTAAAATAAATATAATAAATTGTGTTTCACTTCTTATCCTTTTATCCCTGTGTAACGCAAGAGTTCATTGGATATTTTCATTCACTTAATAGTCCCCAAAACATCTGGGGCTACTATAAAACAGAAATCAAATATGCACATCTCAAAGATCCGGATGAAAGTTCGACCGCAAAAGATTTTCAGTCATAGCTCCATAAAGGAAAGACCAAAGGCAGGTAACAGTCCGTATTACAGATTTGTACTTTTTAAAAAAATTGTAAAAGGTTATTAAAAACATTTTTTTCCATAAATTGATTTCAAATAAAACTGTTTGATTTTTAATTGAAAATTTATTTAATGTCTTACTTTACATGCTGCCATACAAGCGAGACATTTAAAGTCGGACACAATGAAAGAATGAGGTAATTTTCTAAAGATGTATATTTTTCCTTATTCAACAAGTATCTAGAAATAAATGAATATTATATTATGTATACATATACTTTTTTACAGGGAATAAATTTTATTTAAATAAAATATATAATCATCTCAATTTAAAATTATAACAATATTCCTTGTCAAATTCTGCCAAAAGAAAAGGAAAATAACAATAATTGAATTTGAAACAATATTATTAATAAATATAAACATGTCATTCAGTTTTTTAATACCGCCTTTTACCCGCTATTGCAAATTTGTCAATATCAAAAGTGAAACAAAATACTAGTACTTAGTTACTTTTAAAAACGAAAATCTTAATTACTTGATAAAACTAAATATTTCAGCTTGAAAACTAAGCTTGAAGAATGAAGAAAGTAGCAGTTTACTGCGTATATGCCATTGGGATGCACCAATGGGGTTGTCTTTAGGAAAGGATGTCTTAAGGTAGGTCACTCGTCAGCTTTTTGGAAAAGTTCACGCAGAACCTCTTACTTCAAAACTATTCATCAAAATTGAATTTTTATAACATATTTAAATTCAACAATGTTAATGTTTTAACATTCAACGAAAAAACTGCTCAATAAGCCACAAAGAAGAAAGATTTGTGAGGGACTATTTTTTTTTGTGGTGGAAGGATATTTCTACAAATCTGCACATTTAATAAATCTAATATCTTGGAACTTTAGCCTCACATACTTCTACTCTGAGAATATTTTCCATTATGATATTGCTAGGAATATTCAATATACGTCTTAATTTATATTTTTAGAACAAGTTTAACACCTTCATTCAACAAACTTTGCCAAAAAATGAAGATATGTCAAATAAGTCAATATAAAATTTACAACATTTTTTGCCTGAAAATCACATATTTTGACCACTATTTCAAAATTAACATCACTGACCCCAACTTTTTCTTTCATTATTTTAAAGTACTCGATACTTGTGACTGATCAGCACTTAAGTCGTAAAAAGCTTGATTTAAAAAAAATGTTTTATTGCCTATTTAGTTTTTTAATACACCAAAATATGTTACTTTTTAGTGCAAAAGGGTTACACAATAATTTACGAGCATTAATTTGCAAGATTTTTTCAATGATCAATATTATTCAAAGTATTTTACGTAAAATAAGATCTTTTTTTTTGCCATGGCTACATCTGATAAAATATAATTAAGGTTTAAGTAATCAACCAAAGAGTTAAATTTTAAGTGCAAAAAGGTCAACTTCATTGTACCGTAGATCAGTAAGATGAACACTGACCACCTATTTTCTCTGCGATTTTGAGTCACTCTATATGAGTACTTATTCAAAATATACTTCTCAAAAAATCCTTGATTTAACAAATTTCACGAGTGACATACCTTAAGACGAGCCAGAAAATCCACGAGACAGCAATGCCATAGCAATTGATGCAGACAATGAATTAAAGCTAAATAGGGCCTACCTATCTCGGAGTGGCGCTTTAATTATATCAGAACTGTTTTTAAAAAAATCTAATCTGTGGGAAAATATACCTAAAAGCAAAGGGTCCTGCAGAAAAGTTTCAGAAAAGATGCGGACCTAAACAACGCTGCAACATTGGGTTCATGTGCACAGAAGAAAATGTTCAAATGTTAAAGAATTGCTGTCTAAATATCAATTGAAAATGTGGTGAAAAATAAAACGAACTATAGATTTATTTAAAAACTAAATCACTTGTTATTAAAATAAATGAATATTCAAATTTAGGAATTACTGTTTTAACTTCAATTGTACAGACCAGGCACGTAAAATCGTTTAAAATTGGGAGGGGGGGGGGTCGCCAAAATAAAAAAAAAATCAGCTTACGTGAAAAGAAAAAAAAAGCAAACAAAAACTTGCCCCAAAAAAATCGTTTAGGTTAGCGTCCAGGCAGAGTTTGTTAATGAATATTAGGTCTGTTGTGCTGAATTGGCGTCGGAATTAAATTGAAAATGGGGGGGGGGAGCTAAGTGAAAGAAAAAAAATTACGTCAGCCTGCACTTCCAAAATTCATGGAAGAAAGGGTCGTTGGAAACGTCATCGAGGCGTCAAAAAGAGGGATGGGGATTTTCCGTAGACAACTCTTTGCCAGGACAGGAATCCTCTATCAGAGGATGAAAGTTGCGGCTTTTAAAAATAGGGCTCAAGGTCGGGAGTGGTGGGATGGTCTGAAGAAAAGAAGTAACTAATGTATTAGAAAACCCGAGAAGCTTGGCAATTCCCGTGCTCGTATGCTCAATCCCATAGTTGTCAATAATTACATGAATGATTTGGGGTACATCATTTCAAATCTCAATTCGAACTAGGAGACTTATTGTTCACAGAACAATAAGAGGTCTTTCCACCTTTTTAAATTTTTTATAATTTTATATTTCACTCTCTAATTTAATTTTAAGGGAAATGGCTTAAAAAAAGAAAATGAAAATGAAAATTTTTTTTTTTGAATGACCTTGACCTTTGACCTTGATCAGATCTTCAAGGTCAAAGGTCAAGGGTCACAATGCAATTGACCCATGCCTCTACGACTTTTAATTTTATAGTGATAAGTTCAAATATATTTAGTGCAAAGAAGTTAAAGGGCAATAACTCATATAAGGGGTCATTCAATCCTTTAGTACTTATACAATGAAGGTGTGCTAAAAGACCCTTAAGACAGTAGTGAAGGTTTCATGCCTCTACAGTCTACGGTTTTGAAGCAGTAGCGATAACAATGTTTTTCACATAAGGGGCAATAACTTTTGATAGGGTTAATCTTTGGGAACAAGAATGAAATCTTTGAAATAGATTT